TAGCATAATGCTAGTTGAACTCACCTCATTTCCCTGAGCGTGTTGACCAAGTTTTCCGACTCCTGCAACAAGACAAAGCAGGGTGCAGATAACACGATGGTGAAATACTCGAAAGCAATGTACCAGCGGATGTGTGAGAGATCACCTGTAATGTTTAACCGATGTTCTCTAATGCCACAAGTCATGGGGTCATCCTGTAGCAGGGTCAATACAGTCTTGGAGCCATATTACAACATTCCCTTACACGTACACTTGTCCGGCACTGTAAACCAGTCAATACGACCACTCGGATAAGAAGACCACTGCAGCCAGGACCAACAAATGCTCTTTCCAGTCACATGACCCCGGATAAGAAGACCACCTGGTTACCGAGACGACGTTTTGAAGGTCCCTTGAGCGTTCGTCTTACACAGGTTTCACTGTCCTTAGGAAAGCTGGAAAGCCCCGTGACTCGCGGCGAGGTCATGACTCTCATGGCGCTCGGACTCATGCCGGTAATGTGTAGCCCACAATATGCATATAACGAGAGGCGGGAAATTCCCCTCACGTAATCCTCCTCCCCCTCCATCTCATACATCATACTCTACCTGCACCTCCGCCACCACCTGCACCTCCCAATCATCCTAATCCTCTGTCTCCCTATCCTTATCTACGCACTAGAAGCCATAACTTGGTTTTTCTCCGGAAGTATTGCATATAATCTTAAATCATTACTGAATCTCAACTTTCCCGTGTCCCCTGAATCTGTCCAGCTAGCCACTACCACTACCTACTATCAATTGGTCGTCACATTCAAATGTTTCACCTAACTTACTACTGCAGACAGATGCGTTAATAGCCCCATATGTTTTCATTTGCGCCACATGCGAACTGTGTTTATTATTATTATTTTATTATTATTGTTATTGTTGCTGCGTCCAGCGTGAACAAACTAGGGCAGGGCCTTACCGGCAGGGGTGCCCTCAGGCCGCCGTATGCTTCCTCTTGCCGTTGGTAGTCGTCAGTGATTTCCTGGGTGTTCACAACAGCACATGTCATACACCAGTCATCACTAACAACAGCACATGTCATACACCAGTCATCACTAACAACAGCACATGTCATACACCAGTCATCACTAACAACAGCACATGTCATACACCCGTCATCACTAACAACAGCACATGTCATACACCAGTCATCACTAACAACAGCACATGTCATACACCAGTCATCACTAACAACAGCACATGTCATACACCAGTCATCACTAACAACAGCACATGTCATACACCAGTCATCACTAACAACAGCACATGTCATACACCAGTCATTACTAGCAACAGCAACAGTAACTCCAGCGGCAAAATACAGTAACAGCAGTGGCTGAATAGCAACTCCAGCAACAAAAGCGACAGCAGCCCCAGCAACAGCAGAAGCAGCAACAGCACCAGCAGAAGCAGCAACAACAAAAACAGAAGCAGCAACAGCAGCAACAGCAGCAACAGCAACAGCACCAGCAGCAACAGCACCAGCAAAAACAGAAGAATCAACAGCAGAAGCAACAACAGCAGCAGTAGCATCAGCAACAGCAGAAGCATCCACAGCAACAACAGCAGCCACAGCAGCAGCAGCAACAGCAGCAGAAACGCGCAACAGCAGAAACAGCAACAACAGAAGCAGCAACAGCAGAAGCAGCAATAGCCGCATCGGTAACAAAATCAGCAGCAGCGTTGTCCGGTGCATTGAGCGCCTGTTTTGCCTTTGCTGTGCTGGCGGGGTTCGCGGCCGCATGCGGGAACTATGCGGGGACTAAATGGGGACAATGAGGGGGGGGGGGATTACGCGGGGACTAAGTGGGGACTATGAGGGGGAGACTACGCGGGGACTAAATGGGGACTATGATAGGGGGGGGGGGGGATTACGTGGGGACTAAGTGGGGACTATGAGGGGGGGGGGGGTTACGCGGGGACTAAGTGGGGACTATGAGGGGGGGGGGGGGACTACGAGGGGACAAAATGGGGACTACACGGGGACTGCGCGAGGACTAAGTGGGGACTTTTTTCTTTCTTTTTTTCGTGCATGCGGGTTGCGCCACTGCGCGCAGACTTATACATGATTATAAAAAACATTCCAATTTTCTTTGTTGTGTAGTGTACGAGTAGTAATATAACAACTCGGGGTTACTGGTACTGTTTTTTTTGTTTTTGTTTTATTGGGAACACAGCCCTACAAAGAGACATGTGGAGACAAACACAAGACAAGACACAGGGGATGTAGGGACGACGTGCCGATGTACAGGGAGCAACTCGACCGACCAGGGGTCTCGGCGTTAGCGTTGCAACCTGGCATCGAAAAAGAGGGGGGGTTGCATGGTCAGGTAGCAAAAAAAAATTTGGTGCGAGAAAGGGGCGCTAGTATTGCACCAAATAATATAAATACGTGTAATGACTAAACCAGAAGGGAAAATGAAGAAAGAGAACAATAATCATAACAAGCAAGTACTAGTAGAGAGGTAAATACTAAATGGGTCTCAATATCATCGTCACAGGTACTGTGTGGACCACAGCCATCTCTTTCGGATTAGATCCTTACATACGTTGACCTTGAAGGTTTGGAGGCGTCTTGAATGAGGCTCGTGAAGCAGGAGGTCCGCAGGCAGGTTGTTCCAGGGTGTGATGGCGAAGAAGGGGAAGGATCGCAGGAGGTAGTCAGGGGCTGTGCGAGGGGGTGTCCACTTCAGCTGAAAGGCATGGTGCGTCTGACGTTTTTGCCGTGTGCACATGCTAGCTACGGCAGGGGGCTTGGTTGGTGGCAGCATGGCATTTACCTGGGGAGGCCCTGGAATGTAGTGCAGCTTGAACAAGTATGACAGGGCTGCCACCATCCGACGAAGCTGAAGACTTTGGAGGATGGTTCCAGGTCCCAGGAAATGCAGGGCACGTTGCTGAACCTTGTCCAGCTGGGCCATGTTAGTTGCGGCTGCGCTCGACCAGGCCAGTGGGGCATATTCAAGTAGGGGTCGCACGAATCCCTTGTAGACCGTCACTCGACCATGGTCGTCCAGGATGGGTGCTGCCTTTCGTAGGAAACCCAGCCTTTGGGAGGCGCGCAGTGCAACACTGCGAGTGTGCGCTCTGTAGGAGAGAGTAGGGTCGAGCATTACTCCCAGCAGCTTCAGGGTATCTGTCTCCTGGAGTGCTTCACCTCCAAAGGTGACTGGTGGAGTGCAGGGGGGAACGTGCTTGCGATGTAGAGTCATGCGCTGCGTCTTGGCTGGCTCAAAACAGATACGCCACTTGCGGCCCCACTCCTCAAGACTGTTGAGGGACCCTTGGAGGGAGGCGGTGGACTGTTGGAGATCGTCAGTTGGCTGTACTAAGCTGTAGAGTGTGGTGTCGTCTGCAAAGCTGCTCAGCTGCGTTCCTGGAGTTAAACATTGTTCAATGTCACAGGTGTATAGCAGGAAGAGGCTGGGTCCTAGGATGCTGCCTTGGGGGACACCAGCCTGGATGGGTTGAGCATCTGACGTCTGGCCTCCAACCACAACGCGGATGTTTCGGTTGGTCAGGTAGTCCTGTAGCCATACAAGCAGGCGTCCGTCGACGCCGGCCTGCTTTGCTTTGTACAGCACTCCTGTGTGCGATACCCGGTCAAACGCACCGGCAATATCCACGGCGAGGACCTGGACACAACCGCCAGTACTTATGGTGTGGACCCATTCATGTTGGAGAGCCGTTAAGATATCTGCGGTTCCTCTACCACGTCGGAATCCAAACTGGCTGGTTGGCAACACCTCATGCTTCTCTAGGTAGTTAACCAGTTGCGTGTTTACAATGCCCTCCATGACTTTCGACATGATCGTTAGCAGTGATATTGGTCGGTAGTTAGATGCCAAAGATCTGGAGGACCGTTTGTGAACTGGGACTACATGGGCAAGTTTACATGCCCCAGGTTGCACACCGGCTAAGAAGCAGAGGGCGAAGAGTTTTGCCAGTGGGTCTGCAAGGTCAGATGAGCACATCTTGAGCACACGAGCAGAGATGCCATCCGGTCCAGTTGCTTTTGATACAGCCAAGTTCGCCAAGTGCCGTTTGACCGTTGCTGTGCGGAAGTGAATGTGCTTTAGCGTGGCATAGGCAGGTCGTTGCAGGTCAGGCAGGTCAGCAGCACAGAGGTCGTTATTGCCAAGGCTACACTTGTTCGCAAAATGCGCTGCAAAGCACTCGGCTTTCTCACGAGAAGAGTGGAACTCTTGTCCTGCAGGGTTGGTCAGCAGGGGAATGTCAGAGCAACGTCCCTTGCCTGCTGCGCTCTTGATGGTTGACCACCACTCTTTGTCCCGGAGGGAACCTGCAGTAAGCTTGTTGCGAATTCTACGTTGATGTGCTAATCGCGCTGCATGACACGCTTCCACTTCGTGGTTAACAGTTGTGATGTACTGGACCTTGTGGTTATCGTTGCGGGGATCGCGTCGCCACAGCTTCCATGCCCGCTCCTTGGCATGATTGGCGTTAGAACAGTCCGGTGTCCACCATACATGGTTGGATTGGTGCACCACAAGCTCTTTGGATGGTATGAACTGTTTCATTCCATGCATGATGACATCAGTTACGCGCTGACAGGACTGCTCCGCACACCCATGGATCTTGGCGGGCCAGTCTATGTTGCGGAGGTAGCCTCTCCGGTGGTGCCAGTCAGCAAGGGCGTATTTCCAAATCTGTCGAACAGCAGGATCTTCGCGTCGTGGATGCTGTTGGAGAAACTCGGCAATGATAACGGCATGATCAGATCGTCCAAGTGGTGCATAGGCTGTGGTGCATACGGGGTGTGAGAAATCGGAGATGATAAGATCGAGAGTATTGTTGCCGCGGGTTGGCTGGGTGACATGCTGGACAAGATGATGTGCTACGCAGACTTCCTCCAGGCATTCACCGGCTCGGGTAGTCTTGCTACTCTGTAGCCAGGCTGAATTATGCACGCTGAAGTCCCCTGCAATTATCACATTGCTGCCAAGACGGCGGACATCATCCAAAGTGTTGTCTAGGTAGTCCATCAGGCTGGTGTCTGTCTCTGCACAAGAGCCAGGCCGGTAGAGCGCACCCAGAACAGTCTTTGTTCCGGAGTGCATTGTCAGGGAAATCCACAAGAGCTCGTGATCACGGCAATCTATATCGTCGTGGTGGGTAATGGATAGTTCACTCCTAGCCCACACTGCCACACCGCCACCATGGGCATCTCGATCCTTCCTTATAGGGGGTGAGTATCCTGGGATGGTCAACTCATGGGAGGAATTATCTGAGCAGAGCTTCGTTTCTGTTACTATTGCCACGTCTACATTATACTGCAGGATTGCATGCTGCAGGGCACCTATCTTGTTGCTCAGGCTGAATGCATTAGTCACTAGCAGTCGCAGAGGTCTGGAATCCATCATTGGGCATGAGAGGACTGGGCATCCTGCTGGGGTGGCTGCGCATCATGCTGGTCATGTTGTGGCGCAGATCCGTTTGATCTCTTCAGGTCTCCAGCCTCTGGTGGGGAGAGGTGGGAGTTTCTCCGTTTTTGGCCACTGTGTAGTGGAGTGGAGATGAAGTCTGCCGGTGGTGGTGGCGGCGGTGGTGGTGGCGGCGGGGAGGAGGAGGACGTTGAACCCGGCTGCTGTTGTTGCTGTTGCTGTTTAGTCAGAACACTGGCAGAGGTGCTGTTTCTGCTGCTGTGGCTGCGACTGCTGGTGCTGCCCTCAGAGCTGGTTTCTAAGAACCTCCATGGCCTGCAGTATACAGGCCCTGGCCAGCAGTTGGGCGCTGTCACTGTGGAGAGTGAAGTGGCATCGATGGTCACTCTTGCGGAAGCACGCCCACTTTCTGACAGCCATACACTGCAGGTGTGGACAGGAATGGAGGCGCCCAGAAACTCACTCCTGGTTTTGATGAATTGCCTGAAGTGGCTCTCAGTGCTATCTGTGGCGATATTGCCCACATACACCACAGCACGCTTGTTTTTGGGTCGTTCTGAGGAGACAAGCTTCCATGAGTCATCCTCAATAACATGGAAGATTGGCTTGGATTCTGTCACATCTGTCTGGGACTTGGTGGGGATGGCATCTTGGTCGCCATCCCCTTCACGCTCGTCACTGCTACGGGAGATGTTGCAGGGGACGCTGCCATCCTCTTCACACTCGTCACCGCTACGGGAAATGTTGCTGGGGACGCTACGGGATATCGTGGTGTCATGCTTTCGAGTACCTGTACCCGCACTGCCTGCTTTGGTACGCCTACGCGAAGGTTGATCCGCACCCGAACCCTGCTGTGTTTGAACTGGCCTTTGGGTAGCTTTTCGCAAGGCAATGGCGGATTCTCGGAGAGACACTAACTCTTCATTCACATCTTTGAGCTGCCTTGACAGCTCATCAACCCGTTTGTATAGGCGCGTCTCCCGATCAGCCGATTCCGAGACAAGTGCGGCCAATGTTTTCAGGATTTCTACTACAGATAGCTCAATGCCCGGCAACGACGCCATCAGCCTCAGCTCTTCATCACTCAGGGCAGTCGCGCGAGTGTTTGTTCTCGTGGTGGCCCCAGGCATGGCGGAGGTCACCAATTTCTACGAGCACTACTAGAAAAACTTACTGCTACCCTACGGAAACTACCTCCAGTCCGGCCTGATGCCGGCTGGGCTCTACCAAGAAAGATTTACGGGAGCTTCAAAAAGTGCAACCGTACTAACCTTGACTCTAGCACGACATTCGTCTTCCTTGCCCGGTATGATGGAGAGAGTGTGAATGTAGAAATCAGCATGGTTGTAATTTTCTGGACATGGATAACCCAAACTATGCACACACATACACAACACACGGCAGAACACACACACACACAACACACACACACGGCAGAACACACATGCGAGCACGCGCGCATGCACACACAACACACACACACGGCGGGACACCCACGCGCGCGCATGCACACACACACACAGATTTTCTCTTATAGCAACGATAGCGGACAAGATCCGAATGAAACAGATCAAGACTAGCGCCAGATAACAGTCTGATTCACACAACAGCAAAGCCATGTGAAATCTACCCCCAATGCACACCTGGTCTACACCACATGGAGTACATTGGAATAACTTAGGATGGACACACACACACACACACACACACACACACACACACACACACACAGACAGACAGACAGACAGACAGACACGTGTCACGACTCCCCATCATCGTACAAACCACAGCCAGTACGTACCGGGCAAACGCAGCAGGTGCAGTGCTGATGGGGCCCATGTAGGCTGTGCGACCTTCGGCAAACAGCAACAACCTCAACAGGTGACAGGAGAACACACACACACACACACACACACACACACACACACACACACACACACACACACACACACACACACACACACACACACAAAGACAAGATAATGTGTAAAGGCTATGAAAGGTATGTACGGCACACTCATGACTATATACGGTGCTTGCAACTGAAATCCGACCCCCTAGCGATGCGTTCACATTCTAGCGGTCTCTGTTTCGTAGTTTTACCATCCCGCGTTGGGTCTTTGCGATGCAAGCGCACCGCTCAGGGGATCGGATTTCAGTTTCCAGCACTGTACATACATGTACGTGGGGCCGGTTAAGTAGTTCCAAGAACGTTTTCTTGTGATATTCGTCAAAGAATTATGAAATTTGTCACTTGGAATACATCACTACATCAGGTATAATTGTGTTCTCAGATTGATCAATCGCAGGCATTCTTCACTACGTACAGAAAAGGAATTCCGACGTGTATTTACGACATTTAATTCACAAGAACAAAGCTGTCTGCGCTGGCTCGTGATCCTTTATGAGAACCCAAGCCTCAGTTGGATTGTGGGCGGGGAAGGTGGGTGGGTTGATGGCTGGAAGGGTGGCTGGTTGGGTGAATGGATGGATGGATGGATGGATGGCTGGCTGGCTGGATGGCTGGGTGGGTGAGTGGATGGATGGATGGATGGATGGGTGAGTGGATGGATGGATGGATGGATGGATGGATGGATGGGTGGATGGATGGATGGATGGATGGATGGATGGATGGATGGGTGGGTGGGTGGGTGAGTGGATGGATGGATAGATGAATGGATGGATGGGTGAGTGGATGGATGGATTGATGGATGGATGGGTGGGTGGGTGGATGGATGGATGGATGGATGGATGGATGGATGGATGGGTGGGTGAGTGGATGGATGGATGGATGGATGGGTGGATGGATGGGTGGATGGATGGATGGATGGGTGAGTGGATGGATGGATTGATGGATGGGTGGATGGATGGAGGGACGGATGGACGGACGGACGGGTGGACGGATGGATGGGTGGATGGATGGGTGAGTGGATGGATGGATTGATGGATGGGTGGATGGATGGAGGGACGGACGGACGGACGGGTGGACGGATGGAGGGACGGACGGGTGGACGGGTGGATGGATGGGTGGATGTATGGCTGTCTGGATGGCTGGGTGTGCATTGGGTAGGTGGATGGGCAGATAAGTACGTAGCATTTTTATAGAATTAGGTAGCCAAACAACCAATCCTTGTCACTTTCTAGGGAACGTAATGTAACATGGCTGCAGCTACTCTTACTGGTGAAAGAGCTGGAAGACTTCCGATGGTGGCTGGTGGATAGTGCAGATGATGGTTCGGCCGCTGTCGGCAAGGTTCTTCAGCGCGTTCACCACACTCTGCGCCGCAAAACTGTCCAGTCCAGAAGTGGGCTCGTCGGCAAACAGCAATGGCGGGTCGGTCAGAATCTAACACGAGAGAAAGTAGGGAGAGAAAAAGAAAAAATGTCACGGTTCAAGTCAGACTTGGCTGAAGGCCAAGCTTTACGCATCCGTAGGAACATCACCATGGTCACAGCCCTCTATGAATTATGTAGGGGGGCAACCGTAGGAAAGTCACCACCCTCTATGAATTATGTAGGGGGGCATCCGTAGGAACATCACCACCCATCTATGAATCACGTAGGGGGGCATCCGTAGGAACGTCACCACCCATCTATGAATCATGTGGGGGGGGGGGGGGGGGAGAGGGGGGGAGAGAAACAGCAATGGGAGTACAGTCCCCTGGCCAGAGAATTCAGACCTCATGAATATAATAGCGCCGGGGGGGGGGGGGGGGCTATGCGGCGGCGGGAAACAAGCCGGAAAACAAGGAAAATGTGAATGTACAAGAATACATACTTCAGATGCAAAGGCAAGGCGTTTAGCCTCTCCGCCGGATATACCACGTGTGCCAGTGATCGGACTGCCGATACGTGTGTCACGAATCTTCATCAGACCAAGCTGGGGATTATGGGCACGAACGCAATCAGTAACGTGTGTTACAAGTACATACATGCGTGCACACAAACACACATATATTATGTGCATGCGTACACACACACACGTGCGCGCGCACGCGCACACACACACACACACCATTGGACCATTGGACGCCCATCGCCGGAGGCGATGATAGCGATGCTACAGCAGACGCCATAGCAGCTTGTGCTCACACACACACACACACACACACACACACACACACACACACACACACACACACACACACAAACAGTACTTCATAACTGTCATACAATGCAAAGTGAAACGTATGTTCTATCATAGGACCACCGTGACTAGCGACCAGCCTGGTACTACAGTAAAACCTGTAACTAAAGACCACCATGACTAGCGACCAGCCTGGTACTACAGTAAAACCTGTAACTGAAGACCACCGTGACTAGCGACCAGCCTGGTACTACCGACCACTTTGCCAGGCACGGACGGTCTCACATGCATACTATTATATTATTATTTACTATAATTATGGTTGTGCGGTGCAAACCTCGAACTAAGGACCACCTGCCACTAAAGACCGCTTTCTCTGGCCCCAAGGCCAGGGTGGTTGTTAATCACAGGTTTTACTGTAGTTGGCGCCCCTAGTGCTTTCTCGGGTGCTATTATGCCACTGCTTTGACCGACAAAGTGTCGGTTATAAGGACTAGCTTGTTGCCGTGTTAATCACAATTGCATTCGACTTGAAAAGTAATAGTAGGAGATGATGTGTATCTATATTCATTACGTCATAGTTGTACTGCATGCACGCACACACAAGGATTAGTTGAGTGTGCTTCTTTTTCCTGTTGTTCTTTCTCATGACATGTTTTGTTTCCGTTCCCAAGTCTTCACGAATAAATAGTAACGTATCATGGCGCAGTGAACTTGTTCTTTCCTGTGTCCGTGCCTTGTGTCCGCACCTTGTAGTGTTTGCACGGGCCCAGTTGTTTTTCCGTATGAAGTAGTAGTAACCGCGATCGAAACTCTGTCTCAGTTGAATTATTTTAGTAGTGTATTTGTTCGTACTCGTGGACGAGTGACTAATCGTAATGGAACAATCCGTGACAGGACGATACCGGATTTGACCTGTCCTCCGCGACCGAGCGACAGCAGGAATCTCAAATGGGTGTCCTGATGAAATTTATGGAGCAGCAGATGCGTGCAGCTGAGGCTCGTGATAAGGCGATGCAAGATCTGTTCAAGAATGTTCAGAGCAGGTCGCTATCACCATCGCAGCCTCAGTTCACTACGCAGCCCTCAGCACCAGCTCAGTCCACCTCGCAGACCTCAGCACCACGGCCAGTGAACAGTGTTTCCTGCCCACACTTATTGTCGTCTGCGACGCTGGCTGATTTTCACTCCTTCGTTGAAAACTGGAGAGATTTTAGTGTTTGCCAGCATTTGGCCAGCCAGGCTCGTGAGGCCAGAGTGGCAACACTCCGTCAGTGTTTCGATGAGGAGCTGCGACGTTTTATCCGAGAGGATATTATTTGCATACCAGCTTCAGCTGACGTCGACCTGATGCTGGTGCGCATTCAGGCGTATATCAGATGGCAACGTAATCCACTGTTGGACTGCATAGAGTTTTACCAGCGTGTCCAGCAAGCTGGAGAATCATTTGATGCGTTTTACACAGCCCTGTGTGAACTACAAAGTGCATGCGACTTCTTGTCACACAGCCTATGTGGAACGTGTGATGCTCGCTGCTGTGCGCAGTGCAAAGGCCTCGGCCGTACCCTCAAGGAGGAATCTCTGCGCGACCGCGTCGTAATTGGTGTGCGGAACGATGAGACGCGACACAAGTTGCTCGCAACCCATGGTCTCACGCTCGACCAAGCTGTCACCCTCTGTCGGACGGAGGAAGCAGCATACCACACCAAGGCACACATGCCCAGTCCTGGCCTCCAGGCAAGTGCTGCCAAGCAGACGGCGTACAAGCAGCAGAAACGTCACAAGCCAGCTGACTCTAAGCCAAGTGAGACATCAAGTGCGACCAAGTCCACTTGTCCGAATTGTGGTCGCTCTGAGCACACGAAATCTGTATGTCCTGCCAAGGGCAAGAAGTGCAACTCCTGTCATGGCATTGGGCATTTTCAGCGAATGTGCAAGCGCCAGAAACAGCCGAAGACTAGCTCTGCTGCCAAGCTTGGACAGCTGAAGCTACAGCGTGCGTCTCGCGTGGACCGTCGCACAGTACCTGTTTCGACCATGCTGCAAACAGAGGATCAGCCATCCCAACTGTCCTGGACACCAGACACAGGCAGTGACGTTGATGCCATTGGCGAGGAGCACCTCACGCAGATCGGTGGGTTCTTTGAGAACTTAGATGACGACCACGACTGTGTGCAGGCTGTGACCGGTGAGCCGCTACGCAACCTGGGCAAAATACGTGCGACTCTACGAGTCGGTGAGACGCAGCATGAAACCGTCATCCATGTGTACAAGGGTCTACACGATGCCCTGCTCTCTCATACCTCATTGCGTGCGCTGAAGTTTCTCCCACCTGATTGGCCAGTCCAATTCACCGCTGAACACGAGGGTGCATCTTCACCCAAGATCTGTGCAGCTGTTTCGTCATGCGCTCATCCTAGTGATGCTGAGTTAGCGCGGACACGTGAGCAGCTCCTGCAAGAGTTCGCTGACGTTTTCTCGGATTCCGGTCTGAAGCCAATGGAAGGTCCGCCAATGGAAATTGAGCTACAGAACGATTCTAAGCCTTCCCGTGTGTACACTGCTCGACCAATACCGTATGCGTTCCGTGACCAGATCAAGACTCAGCTCGACGGCATGGTCAGCGACGGGATTATTGAACCAGTGACGGAGCCCAGTGAATGGTGCCATCCGATTGTCATAGTAGACAAGAAGGGCAGCACTGAGAAGCGCCTCACAGTTGACTTCAAGCGGCTGAACGACCAAGTCCGTCGTCCCGCGCATCCCGTACATACGGCACGTGACGTTGTCTCTGGAGTTGGCTCTGCTAAGTTCTTTACGAAGCTCGATGCAAGGCACGGCTACTGGCAGATTCCTCTCAGTGACACTGCTCAGGAATTCACCACGTTTATCACCCCGTACGGCAGATATCGTTATCTACGGAACCCGCAGGGTCTAATATCTGCTGGGGATGAGTTCAACCGGCGCACTGATGCTGCGTTCTCTGCCATCCCGCGTCTCGGCAAGGTAGTCGATGATTGCCTAGCGTACGACGACGACTTTCTGTCGCATGTCAGCCACGTGCGCGAGATTCTGCTCTGCGCCAGGGAGCATGGTATCACGTTCAGCCCCGCCAAGTTTGTGTTCGGTACGCAACGTGTCCATTTCTGCGGCTACAACGTCACGCCTGATGGCTGGGTCGTCGACGATGATAAGACGTCCGGTATTCGCCAGTTTCCAGTACCCGCCAACAGAACCGATCTCCGTTCGTTCCTCGGTCTAGTGAACCAATGTGGCGAGTTCACTCCACATCTAGCCGAGTTGACCAATCCTCTGCATGGCCTGCTCAAGACCTCCCGTGAGTTCATGTGGGACGCTAGCCACACTGCAGCGTTTGAACGGACACAGGAAGCTCTCTTGTCTCCTCCGGTTCTCGCTTTCTATCAAGTTGGTCAAGACCTCCGGCTTGAAACCGATGCATCCGCTCTGAGAGGTCTCGGATTCGTGCTTTGGCAAAAGCAGAATGATCAGTGGCGTATTATTCAGTGTGGATCCCGCTACCTGTCTGATGCTGAAACACGTTATGCTGTCATCGAGTTGGAAATGCTCGCTGTGGTATGGGCCGTGCGCAAATGCCGCATCTACCTGTCTGGTGCGCCATTTGAAGTAGTCACCGATCACAAGCCCCTGATTCCGATCATCAACTCATATTCGTTGGATCAGATCGAGAACCCGCGTCTTCTACGATTACGCCTCAAGCTCCAAGCCTATCAGCTGCAGGCATCTTGGCGAAAAGGTTCTGAAAATGCCTTCGCCGATGCGCTGTCCCGGAATCCTGTTGGCATTCCTTCCACCACTGATGAGCTTGGTGAAGCCCCGTCGCTTCATTGCCGCAGCATTCAGATCTGCATGGTGCACTCGGACACTGAGCCGAATGCGAATCTCAAAGTTGCAGAGCTGCGGGAAGCTGCAGCTGCAGATGCCACGTACCAGTCATTGATTGAGTGTATCTTGACTGGATTCCCTGATCGCCAGCAGAAGTTGCCTGCTCCGTTACGTGCGTACTGGAATGGACGTGAGCATCTCTCCGTCGACCATGGCATTGTGTTGAAGGGCAACCGCATTGTTGTTCCTGAATCATTGCGTGCTCAGGTATTGCACAACCTCCACGCTTCACACCAAGGCCTAGTGCGTACTAAGTCTCGTGCGCGTCAGCTTGTATACTGGTCCGGTATCACCAAGGACATTGATACACTCGTTCGTTCTTGTCCTGCTTGCCGCGAACACCAGTCGCCCCAGCCAGCTGAGCCCCTGCTGAACGACCGCACCCCGACACTACCGTTTGAATGTGCATCTGCCGATTTGTTCACTTGTCAAGGTCACGCCTTCCTTGTGTATGCAGATCGTTTGACCGGTTGGCCCTGTGTCGCGCGTACTGGCCGCACCACCTCATCGCATGACGTGATACTCACATTCCGTCGCTGGTTCTCTGATGTTGGTGTTCCTGCTGTGCTGTGTACAGATGGTGGTCCCCAGTTCTCCTCGCATAAGTTTGCTGAGTTTTGTAAGCGCTGGCAGGTAAACCATGTCATGTCCTCTCCCCACTACCCGCAGAGTAATGGGCACGCCGAAGCTGCTGTCAAAGCCATGAAGCGTCTCATCACCAAGACAACCGTAAATGGCAATCTTGACACAGATGACTTCCGCCGAGGGCTACTGGAATGGCGAAACACACCTGGCTCCTCTGGTCAGAGCCCCGCTGAGCTCCTATATGGCCGCTCTCTCCAGTCATTCGTCATTGCACATTGGAAGGAGTTTGATTCATCCTGGCTCTCCAAAGCGACGACACATGATGAGACTGCCATGCCATCCGACGATGCCGTCACAGACAAGTCGTCAACTCGTCGCTTGTTGCCGCAGCTCCGCCTCGGCACCCACGTGGATGTTCAGCATCCGCGCACCAAGCAGTGGTCTATTCGTGGGGTCATTGTTGCTGTCGGTAATCATCGGGACTACCTAGTGAAGTTGCCGAGTGGTCGCATTTATTGGCGGAACCGCAGATTCCTGCGTCCGTATCGCCCACTTGTGCCTGCACCGCTTGTTGTCCAACCGGCTGCTGCTGACGCCTCTTCCCCGCCGCCGCCGTCCCGCCGCAGCGCACGTCAGCGCAAGCCACCCCAGCGTTTAAACATTGGTTCGCATCATGGACAGTGCTATGATTGACACTCTTGATCACTAATGTCAATTTCTGCTGTCTCTGCTTTGTTGTTTTCATTCTTCATTTTGTTTTATTTATGATAGATGTTGCTGTCACAGGTTTCGCAACATCTCGAAGGGGCGTGATGTGTATCTATATTCATTACGTCATAGTTGTACTGCATGCACGCACACACACGGATTAGTTGAGTGTGCTTCTTTTTCCTGTTGTTCTTTCTCATGACATGTTTTGTTTCCGTTCCCAAGTCTTCACGAATAAATAGTAACGTATCAGGAGAGGCCTAGGCAAAACTATAATTATGGATTCTGTGCTTCGTGTGCTGATATTAGGGAGGTTGCGCACAACGAAAATTCGTAAGATTTCAAACGTCCAGGTTCGAGTAACGAAAGTTGCTACGAAGATCCGTTCCAATGCGACCGAAACAGAGCAGATCTACGAAAATATTTTTCGTAACAGGGAGTACTAAAATACTGATATTTTAAAACTCCCTGTCTTGACCCTCGGTACCCGCGCGCGATTCGTCGACCTACTACAAAAAAGTTCAGACGTTGTGCGCAACCTCACGATTTACGAATATTCGTTAGCATTTTTTGTTGAAAATATTTGTTACGGCGCTTCGAATTTTCGTTGTGCGCAAACTCTCTAGTAGCAAGCTGTATGTGCTTACCTCCACCAGGACCTTGTCGATTTGTTCCTCGCGATTCTCCACCGTGGTTGACACATCCATACGCAGCAATGCCTACGGCGTAGGAAATTGGATTGCGTCGCGAGTGCACGCACAGGAAGACACGCGCATGAAAATGCACAAACGCACATGCACAACCACACACACACACACGCGCACGCACATACACACGTACGAGCACATACACACGTAAACACATCCACACCCGCCCACGCACCCACACTCTAGGCGGACTATCCTGGACGAAAACTGGTCGTACATGTACCGTGTGTGAAACCAATGGAAACTGGTCGTACATGTACCGTGTGTGACGCCCCTGGAAGATTCCCCCTGGTTTGAGTCCTGGTGGTGCCAGCCAATTTTTTCTCCGGACATTCGTCAGAAATCAAAATCTAACGACAAATAACGACCTTTGGATCCACTTGGGTCCTCTTTTTGTATGGGTCCATACACGTGCGGGTGGTTTTCCTTCGAAGCACAGTGACACATCCACCGGTAGTGATTGGACTAGGCCCTCCCAGTCATGGACCCACACATACCGGTGGATGTGTCACTATGCTGCCAAGGAAAACAACCCAAACGTGTACGGACCCATACAAAAACTGGACCCAGGTAGATCCGAAGGTCGTTATTTGTCGTTAGATTTTCACTTCTGACGTCATCACTTTCAAGCTGCCGGTTTCAAATACAAGCCTGATATCGAAGAAACACAGTTGGCACGTAGATCTGGGTATAGCATCGACATACGTTGAACTACCTGGAAAGAACACAGTTCTGCCGCCGCAGACCCCGTAACTGGAGTTGCACACTCTTGGGCCGGGATATGTACACTTAGCTGTATTCATAGTAACTTAGCACTCACCTGAACCCGCAAGTGTTCATAGACAGTCAAGTTAGCAAGGAAGACATCTTGCTGCTGGATGTAGGCGGCCACCTTGCTCACTAGTTTCGGCGTGACCGTCCGGCCATTGACGGCTAGAGCTCCTGCAAGTGATCACAGCACAACGTGACACACAGAAACAGACAGTGAGCCAGGGAGGTAAAGCTGTGAGGAGAGAGAGAGAGAGAGAGAGAGAGAGAGAGAGAGAGAGAGAGAGAGAGAGAGAGAGAGAGAGAGAGAGAGAGAGAGAGAGAGAGAGAGACAAGTATTACCCCCAAGTATATAGAACCATTGCCACTCTGAGTCGCCTTTGTCTTGGGAAATAATTTTAAAATGTTCATGCACCTGATCATCAGTAGTCAGTCGTATTGTTCTAGGAATCTGAATTTCCATCTAAGATTGCTATCTTTGCCCAGTACAGTATCTAGATGTACAGTGCTGGCAACTGAACGAGAGCACTCCGTACTCCGTGCCACATTATGCCGTTTGTCGAAAATACGAGCGGAGTGAATGACCCCCTCTCGACATCGACAACACGCTGAAGATAGGCCCGCTTCTTCTGATGTTCATTTCGGGAAATCTGTGCAAGGACTTCCTGTCGCGACAACAAAGACGCCGAGGGGTGAGTAACCCTCACATCAAAGAATGCATCTTGCTGTGGCGACCAAAAGCCCCTTGCACGGATATCCAAGCGAGCTTCTGCAGCACGATTAGCGGCGGCGCCGTGAAGTTGTTCATCATCCAATGGCTAAAGCGGTGGCTCTGTTTGAACATCCGGGATGGCAGAAGTCATCACCTCCACCAGCACATCACGAAGCTCATTGTGTCGCAGACTTGGATAACCCCCTGTAGGGCATGTCAATGCATGGTCGACAGACATGTCTCTACCACACACACAAGTATTAGTTGGTGGGAGGCTGTCAACAGTCCGTGCGCCAGTTCAGAAAAAGTCGTCTAAAAGTTGCACTTTTATTTTCCAGATTTGCCAGATTTCGCAGTTTTCTCAAGATATCGCGAGACGAATACTCAAAGGCGTCACCTTCGTCGTCCTTTGGTTTACGTCTCCCGTGAGTTCTTCGTCTCAGATCGTTGTCGAAATCCAACCTAATAGTTGTTCTCTGCCCTAAGTTTTGTCCGTGGCGATAACAAATAACGAGAAGTTGAGTTCTCGCTCGTCGCTTGCGTTTTCGTTATGTCGCTGATATTTAGGTTGAACATGCTATAATTTCGTGCCGTTGGTTTGTACAAGGGTTTCGCTATTTCCTGCTTCTTTAATTAGAAAGAGGTTAGCCAACAGTGTATCCTCCAATTTTGGCTTGTGCAAAAAATCCGACAGCGGTGATACCAACCGTTTCGTCAACACTGTATTTTTGACACATTTTGACACACACATGTCTTCAATTGGTGGACTTATGAACGACCGACAGAATCGTTCAAAGGTTCCTACTATTATGCGATGTACCAGCCAGACCATTGTATCCGTAGACCACGAATTTACAAACAACACGAACCCCAACAGGTTGCTGGAGCTCCAAACACAAACCCTTGCAGATCAATGCATGTGCCTATACTTGTATGTACAACAGCAACAATATAAAGCCAAATACAGTACTGAGGTGGGAAAGAAATATAAATAATTCATGCAGAGAGGATGACACTACAAACACAGCACCTGAGCCAATGTAGAATTGAAGTGAAAAAATGGCATCTGCGGATGGCCAGGATACGATGCTACTATTTACAGAACAACCGCCACAAGCTATGACACATAAAGTCTCGTACCTTCAATTCTTCATTCACGGCGGACGCATGGAGCAAAGAATACGTTTACCATACACCCGTACAAGTACATGCACACGTGAATTGACACGTTTTCATGCGCTTTTTTCAACAGACCCACACACGTCTGCATGTATATGTAAACGCACAGACATGTATACGTACGTACGTGCACGAACATACACACCCATAAACATGAACACACATACACACACACACACACGCGCACATCCGCTAAAGTATGGGAGCATATGTGCACAAAGCATCACGTGATTGCATTCACAAGTTTATACAAGCCAGCCAGGTAATGAATGCATACTTGTAGTTGTGTGGTAGCTGCTACAACAAATGGAGCATTGGCTAAATATTGCAATAAGGAGAGTGTCATGATAGTCATGCAAAGGTTCTGCTGTTATCAACAAAGTGCATGCCTCTCGTGCTAAGTTCAAGATCCATTGTACTGCATACTTCGTGCAGCTTGCATCCAATCGTAGGCATCACGAGTCAAGGCAGCAGCCACATGGACCAGTAAGATTCACTGATATTGAGGATTTGGACCAGGGTGCTGTTCCGATTAAACTTGCAATAACACCTTGTTGAGCTGGGTCTTCCCCACTGGCACAGCCACCTTGTGTGGCCGTACCATTAGTGGTCTCTACCCGTTGTTTTCATTTCATTGGTAGGGTTGTGTTTGAAGAAAAGCCCACTTGACTGCCTTCCAGCATATAGCTTTCAAATGTAAGTGTGATGTATTGATATCACAGACATGCTGACGTTTGGTACATGCCTCAAGGCTAGTCAATAGAAGTGATAGTCATACATCACTTTAAGCTAGGACCACTCCAGTGGGAGAAATGAGGTGATCTACTGTTGTCCGCTGGAAGCGTTTGACCCTGTTAACCATGATGATAATCTACATAGGCATCAATACACAGCCGGAAAGTGAAGTGTGCACACACAGACGCACACACACACACACACACACACGCACACAGACACACACACGCACGCACACACATACCAAGCAGCATAGCACCACAATTTCCACCATGTAAAGCAGCAAGTATCGCCCCCCAAGCATGTGTATGCACAGAGTACATGATTATGCCACAGGGGATTTTTTTAATATTTGAATGCAGGTGCACAGACCCTGGGTTATTGGCATTGGTCATGGGTTTCATATTCATGTCCTAACTATAAATTAATAAGTCAATAATAATTTTGCTCTTCTGTTTCATGCATTGTGTGTAAAATACCAATATACAGGCAAATTGTACTAAAGTACCATACAGCTCTGCATCAATTTTGCCAATGCTGTTGATTGTACATTGTTCACAATCGCTGCAATCGCTGCCATTTCTCATAAATAATATTGTCATGCAGTATAGTTACGAAATACACCGCCAGGATGCCACAATACAAAGATGGCTACATTTTTTCAACCAACATGCAATTATTGCGAAAAAATAAATATTTCCATAATTTCGTGCCGTTGGTTTGTACACAATTTCAGGGCTAAAATAACCTTACCCTTGTCATGGCGATATCTCTGAGGAGTTCAATTCACCTAGTCTCCCTTGTGCAAAAAATTCCCTCGTGGTGCTGCCAGCTGCAATGTAATGGCAACCCAGAATAGGGTGAAAATCGAAAACGATAAATTCCTCGCCTCCCGTCCATCCAACTGCGCTGGTTGCATCAAGTACGATGTTTACAAGACGAGTGGCATCCGACTAACGACTGGCAACATATTTCTTGAAGAAGGAAGCCCTCATTTCACCGACTGGCCTCGAGGTAGGCAACAAATCGACCAACAGTATTGACCGGCGTCGTCATCTTTCCCTGCATAACGTCTGCATGTATGGTTCCCGCGCAGAAAATAAAAATCGGGCCAAAACAGGGTCTGGCGCACGGACTGTCAATAGAGCGTTTTAGCAACTCGTGAACGAGTGGACCTCTCTACGACTACGAGTCGGTGGCAGGGAGCCCTACATACATGTACATTGGTATGCGTAGGGCCGCCTGGTCGGTGGTCGACTCGGGTGCCTGGGTTCGAGTCTCGTTGTTGCATAACGAATCAACTGCCATGCCCTTGGCTTGATTCGTGCGAAACGAACCCCGATTGCAGCACACAACGAGACTCGAACCCAGGCACCCAAGTCGACCACCGACCAGGCGGCCCTACGCATACCAATGTATGTAGCCTCAGTCAATGTAGGGCTCCCTGCCACCGACTCGTAGAGACTCGAGTCGAGAGGTCCACTCGTTCACGACTCTCTAGTAATCGTAATACCCCAGCCACATCGCAGGGCGAGACCATCCCGGCCAGAGGCTCAGCCGGCATTAGGCTGATTAGCCAACTGGAAACGCCACCATCAGCAATCTTCAATACAAGTAAGTAAAGTAACGTTAGTTAGTTCAACACTACACCATGTACAAGTCATGTACCGGGGAGTCATAGACCCGGCCTACGACTCCCTGTCATCATGGTCATGTACAGTAGATCTACCCGCTGACATGAGCACTTCTTTCTAAAATCGTGACGCCATTTTGTTTTTACACGCATGCGCGCGTGTATCGTCTGTGCAGTGCAGGGCCTACTAGTACAGTAGTATAACACAACAACAACTGAAATCCGACTCCCTGGGCGGGGCCGCGCGCCGCCCAGGGAGTCGGATTTCAAAACCAGCACTGTAGTAGTACTACAGTGCTGGCAACTGAAATCCGACCACCTGGGCGGCGCGCGGCCCCGCCCAGGTGGTCGGATTTCAGTTGCCAGCTCTGTAGTAGTAGTACACTCGCGGGATCCCCTGGCCGTGATCATGGTGATATGCATTGACTTCATTGTCTTTGTGGTGGACTCTCAGTCTCAGCTAGCCAGGGAGTCGCCGCTCAACACTGACTCAGTGACTGCTAGTGTAGACTGTATTATACATGTAGTGTCCTGACAGAAACGAAAGCCTTTTTTCGTAAGGAAGAAGAATATATTTCTAGCAGATCTATGATTGTAGTGAAAGAATAGGCTAGGGACAGCAGGGGAGAGCGAGAGAAGCTGAAGAAGAGTCGATGCTCTGCGCTAAAACCTCTGTCCATATAACTCGCATTGTTGTCTTTCGTCTCCGAACATTTCTACAATGCAACGTTTGTAAATAGAGCAGGACGCACCGTGGCAGTTGCAGAGCTGCGTTGTACTGTTTTCCGAATTCCAGGAGACTTTCTCACGTCCAGCGGCTCAGTGGCCGTGTGAAATAGTAAAATTCTCTGGCCCGAATCTGCCCCGCCATGGGGCTGTGCATTTGCGATACGTCTCTCTTTCAACTCGCACTCATTGGATGATTGGTAGCGTGCTGTGCGTTGACAATTAAAAAAAAAGTTTGTATCCTGCTTCTATTCGGCCGTCCACACCCTCACACGGCGACCTCACCGTGGCCTCTAACGACCTGGAACACGGCGGTGGATATATCCGGGTACTAGTATCAACAGGGAGTTTATGCGTATGTCCTAGCGCCCTGCTAGCACTAGTAGCTCACCTACCATACGTCTGCCATCCCAACTGACCATCTGTACATGGTTGAACTGACCTAGAACTACCTGCACTGACCATACCTACTATAGTCTGTATCCTGCTGCTAGCGCTACAAGTACAAGTAACGACTGCTACGTGTGACCATGCATCGATTGGAGATGCGGTGGGTCGTGGAGAATGCCTGATCGTGTGTGCGCCATCATGGTGTTCAAGTCGCTCGTGGATTTCGCTCACCCAGTAAGGCATCATGAATTTGTGCATGTACATGTAAAAAAAAAGAGTAAATTATCGTGTCCGTTCCCGAAGGGAACTCACGACGGCCGCTAACCCCCGGTAAACCCTAGCAGCAGATGCAGCGCCTAACGGTGGGGTGTACATGTACATACGGTGTTACTCAATGAAAACGCGCCGTGTCACGCAAGTACGCGGCGGGCGTTGCGCAGCCCTGGACCTGCGAACAGTGGGCGGCGAAATGATGCCACGGCAAGGTGCAAACTTGAGCGATGCGACTGGATTGCATTGAACAGCACTGTACATACATGTACATGTACTTGCACCACTGTTGTTTGGCAAAGGAAATCCAAACCTACAAGTATGTATGCTTTCCGCGCAGAGAACTGCTGTCCCCGGGGAAAATTGCGGAAAAAATCGCAAAAAAACGCGGGGGAAAACGCGGCATAATATGGCATAATTTGCGGTGAATTTGCGGTAAATATGCGGTAAATATGCGGTGAACAATATTGATGTGCGGCAATTTTCAGTGAGTATGTAGTGAAATCAATCAGTTACAAGTCTCTGGTGTAAGCACTCGTCATATTTGAGTAAAAAGCCGCCACGATGAGACGTTGCTGACCGAACAGTGCACTGTGTGTAAACAAAAAGTTCAAAAAACGCGGGGAAATCGCGGAAAACGCGGTCTTTTAAAAAATCGCAAAAAACGCGGAAAAAACGCGGCCGCGGAATCGCAATTTTCCCCGGGGACAGGAACTGTAAAAAAGTAAAGTTCGCACGTCCGCGTTACCACCGGCAACACAGTTGTATTGAGAAACACAACCAGCTTAGGAAGTTTCGCTCGTGCCAGGCCACCACCATGCCTGTAATACCAGGGTGGCAGATGTATCGCCTACTGGCGAGGGTGAGGTGGTAACTCTCACAACCAATGCCCCACAAGGGGGCGATTTCCTCGTTAGCTGCATCCATGTTACCCTCACTCCGAGTAGTGAGTACCCAGTTGACCGTGGGTGTCGGCACAGCTCCTTGCATGTAAAGTGGTTCGCGCACGCATCACCGCGTTTGTTAGCACACTGCACGCTCCCTGCTCCCAGCACGGGTCTCCAACTCGGGACCTTGTGATTCGCAGGCAAGCCCACAACCACTCGGCCAAAGCGCTGGTACTGCAGAGAAAAGAACTGTAGTTGTGGCCGAAGAATCCGACCCCGCGAGCCGAAAGCAGTGCCAAGTCTCATGCTGCGCACGTGTCACTTGGATGGGTTTGTGGACCGTTTGTGGTGTAATTGATAATAGAGAGGTTGCGCACAACGAAAATTCGTAGCGCCATAACGAGTATTTTTAACGAAAAAAGCTAACAAATATCCATAAGCCGTGAGGTTGCACACAACGCGTGAACCTTTTCGTAGTGGGTCGACGCGCGGATGCGAAGAGTCAAGACAGGGAGTTGTAAAATATCAGTATTTTAGTACTCCAAGTAGCGAAATATATTTTCGTAGAGCTACTCTGTTTTTGTCGCGTTTGGACGGATCTTCGTAGCAACTTTCGTCACTCGAACGCGGACGGTTAATATCTTACAAATCTTCGTTGTGCGCAACCTCTCTAATGGAAACGCGGTGCTGCCTTCGTCAGTTTGACGTGCGGGTTGGATCTCTTTGGCCATGGCTGTATAATTATTTATTTTGATGTTGTTGTGCACAGCTGAGTGTCAGTGCACATGTGTGGTCTTGTGGGCTGCAAAATTAATGTACATCAGTCTGGATCTCAATTGACATAGCTGTTCGCTGCCTCCATGCTTCCCTCGTGCCAGGCCACGAGTTCCCAATTAACTGTGGGTCGCAGCACGTCTGGATTTTTTTACGAGAAGCCACGAACCTCGAGAACAGAATATTTCATGATAGAGGTGGCTGCAGACATACCTGTGGTGGTGAAACTGGAGCATCTCCGCCGACCTGAGGTCTCGGCTTCAGCGCACCAAAAATCCTTCCGCTTCCAAGCAGGACTTGAACATGGTACCCTCTGTTTCTCAGCCATGGTCTTAGACCATCACACTATGCCTACCTGCTTGGCTAGCACCCCAGAAAATGTGGTGTACAGAGTGCGCAGCTCCGAATGGGTTGCTGTCACAGAGAAATTTCTTGATAAAACAGCATTTTGGTGATGTAGTGCGTACAAGCAGATCTCCCGCTGCTGGACAACTGCAGCACAGTTGTATGCACTACGCCACTTCCCTCCACATAAAGTCCCCTCAGACTTCCAGAACACAGGGGTTTTGTAGTATTGAATAATTATGTGGACGCAGTATTTAGACAAGAGAGTAGACAAGAAGGAAGACACTACACACAACACTAGAGAACCACTGGATCATGTGCTCTTCTATACTTGATTGGCTCTCGTTGCCATGGTGAAGGAGCGGGAAATACGAATAGTTACTATTGTACTGTCTTACTATGAATACACCTACTGTAAAAACCATGTATATATAGCTAAGTGCTCAATATAGCTAAGTGCTTACTATGAATACACCAGTACTGTAAAAGCCATGTATATATATAACGAAGTGCAAACTCTAACCAGTTAACGAGGAGAAATCTGTCGTTCAAATATAAATCGTTATACAGAAATCGATACATATACTGCCCGGAGCGTTGAGAATGAGTGAGAATCGTTACCGTTGGTACACGTAAACTAGTCAATTTTGGGAAATCGTTATAGTATATGCGCCTCGTTAGAATAATGGCTTATTACACCTGCATCAAGTATGACCTACGAGTGCAGGTTTTAGTATTGCGGCCATGACAGACACTTCAACTTCAACAAATAAAACTCAAACCTGTTCTTTTATATTTAGGTGACTGTTTTGATATTTTCTGTTTCGCCTATTCTGCAGTTGCATGCGTATACATGTAAGCACATCATTCCCGCTCGTTCCTCATTCTTCCTTCTATTTGGCAAATGCTGGTTTTTATACATTGTGCAATTACTCAGCGTCATTTGCAATAATAAACGAGAGAGCTTGGAAGCTCAGGGCCCTACGCTATGCTTTTTTATTGCAAAAAGTTTCCATCTGTTCGAATACCATGCATGATGAGCTAGGCAAAAAAGCATAGCGTAGGGCCCTGAGCGAAATAAATAAATTTTCTCTTGCATTCGAGGGTAATGCGACACCGTCTACCACCTTGATGAC